AACACACCAAAAAGAATAAGGAAGGGTCTCACCGAATGCCGCTTGAATTTGGAATGTGTAGTCATACCATACTCACCATCAGGTTTGCAATTTGAAGCGCGGGTGAGTTGTTTTTGAAATTCCTTCTTCAATCTGCATCAGTGAAACAAGGAAAACACGCCAAAAGAAAGAAAGAAAAGGAACATAAACTATACACAAGGGATTAGACCTTCTCATAAAAAACAACAGGATATCAAATAAAAGCAGCAGAAATAGACAGTCAAGCTAAGATTTCCCCCCCCCCCCTCACACTATAGTGATGCAAGCCTCTTATATACAAAAGAATCGACACCTAACACTTATACCCCCCCACACTTAGAAGGAACAACAACATCGTTGCTCCAAGACAAAACAAGGGAAGGGGAGGACAGGGGGATAACCAAGAAAAACAGGGGGCTAGTGCCCACTAAGGCCATCATCACCGGAGTCCGGCCCCTTATCCCCGTAGGAGAAGCCTTCTGGTGGGCCATGGGGATCCCAACCTCCAGTGTAGCCTGGAGGCCAACCATAATGACCTCGGAAGAGGTCTTGTTGCCAAGTAGGCAACGGGTCGAATTGGGGGGGCATGGTTAGGGGTTGGGGGTGGGTGGGGTCAACATAGGGGTAATTGGGGTCACCCCTATAATCACTACCACCCGGCAACCTTGTTGGGTTTCAAATAGGCTTTGAACACCCAAATGGAGGCTCCCTATTCCCTTCTCAAGGCTTTCCAAGCCTTGGCTTTGGAAGAACTATTGTTGTTGTTGTTGTTGTTGTTGTTGTTCCATCATCTCCATATCATCCTGCTCAACTACAGGGCCCCCTCCTCGATCGGCTCCAGGAAGAACACCATTGTCCCTCCTAACCCAGTAGATGTTTCTGGACTCCCTTTGGAAGGAGGTAAGTGTTGGGTTTGGGAAAAAGCAACGGTGTGCATGAGACACCAACCAATCATAGACTCCCTCTCTAGGGGTGAAGGCAATGAATCCCAACCTTTTAAATTGATCGAGATTGAGAAGGATGTCACCGCTATTCCCAACCATAGTGCAAGAGGGGAGGAGGTCCCCATGCCCAAGCTTCAAGGCTAACCTTGTTACCATACTCCCACAGGCAATTTTGCGGTCTTCTTCCCCTTGGCGATTGATGAGCAATTTTTGATGAAGAAGTAGCCCAGGTTCACTCTTCGGCCTAAGGCAGGCTGAGTAGCGAACCACAAAGTGACAATTTCCTCTCTAGACATCTTCCCTAAATCTTGCTTGTTGAAAATAGCGTATCCAAGTATACGGTGCAGGATTCTTAGGGCCGAGTGAACTATCTCACTGGCTAAGGAGTAACGACCATTGAATTCTTCTTTCCCCGTGATCGCTCTCCACCAATGTGTATCATTATAACCTTCGAAGGAGGAGTTCTCGGGAGCGACAAGGTTGGCATCTGGATTAAAGTCTAGGGCAATGTTGAGTTCTCTCAAGGATAGTGTATGAGTTTTGTTGAAAAGCTGGAAGGTGACTATGAAGTTATCATCCCCCACAACTTCACAGGAGAAAGTGGAAAAGAATTCAAGAGTTGGATCAAGGTAGGTGTTGAAAGCCGAGCTCACAAAGGTACCCAAATTGAGGTTTTCAAAGAGTACCCAAATGTCTTCGTCAACACCTAAGCTTGTGGTGGCAGGACGGTGATAGTGTTTGGAGGGTCGAAGCTTCCTCTCTCTCATTTTTTGTAATTGGCTTCGTGGTTGTTATTTTGGAAGGTAAGAGGGGGTAGAGGTGGTTGATTTTGTTGGGATTGGGAAGATTGTGGTTCCTTCCCGCTCCTTGATTGTTTTTTACCAAATGTCAACATCTTCGCCCCAAACACTTCTCAAAAACTTATACCACAAAGAATTCCACACCAAATCACCGAAATTATACCAACCCAAAAATTCAATTGCACTATAAAGTGAAATCCTATAAAACAACAATTAGCACAACAAATACAACAACAACGTAACAAAGTTAGTCAATAGGCAAGGGGCTCATGAAATTTACATAGTACCCAAACAAATCCCAAAATTCACAAATTACCCACACACATCATGAAATCCATGGCCAACAATTTACAAATCATAGACCCACAAATATTTATATCCAACAATTCACAATCCCCTAACTATTTCAAGAAAATCCCAAAAATTGCAAATTATCCACAAGTATTTCATTAGAATTACAGATTTGCAAGAATACTCATATACATGTCAATATAATCATAAGAATTGCAAAAATACCCACATGCATTTCAATTGCGTCTAAAATTTCCCCCAAAAACATCACAAATTCAAGAAGCCTGTCATGAATTCTATCAAAATGTAATGAAAATTAGGCTTAGGAAGTTAAATATACCTTCTTGAAGACGAAAATTCGAACAAAAACTTCACCGAGGAGGCTAGGTTCGTGTAATGGGAGATTGGGGTTTTTGGGGTTTTCTTGAAATCTCTTCGGTGAGATTCAAGGGTTTTTGATGAGAAAAATTATGTAGAATGAGATTTTGGTGAGTGTTTGATGAATTTTGAGGGAGATTTGGGGAGGAAAGGTGGAGGTTGTGAGGTATTAGAGAGGTTAGTAATGGAGGTTAGGGTTTAGGAAAGAGAGAAGTGAGAGATTGAGAGTGAAAATGGGGGTGAAAGAAAGCATACCTACCGCTTTTTCTGGACTGGAAACGTGCGCGCCCACGCAAACCATCCTGCGCGCCCGCGCAGACCCGTGAGAGAGCCCTCTCACGGGCACGAACGCCATCTACATAAACATTCTTCAGTGTGCGCCCGCAGAAGGGACTCTGCGCGCCATGTAGAGGGCTCTCATGCCATCTACAGAAACTTTCTTCAGTTGGCTTTAACACTTGCGCGCCCTGTAGAGCCCTCTCAAGGCATCTACAGAATATTTTTCCTCCTACAATCAATCTCAAAATGTTCTATAACTCTACTAAAAATTCCTAACACATCAAACTAAATTGTTTATCAATATTACAAACCCCATTAAAAACATATAAAAGTTCAAGTTCAAAACGAAAATACTCCTATATTACGGAATTGGCTTCGAGAGCTCTTATCCCGAGATCATCAAACGCGCGTGAAAGTCGTTAATCCTCTTCATTGTGCTCCTTCCTTAGGCCTACTTAACCTACAATAAAAACAACTAGGGATTAGATCCAATCATAAAATCTAACTACGAAAAACCAAAAACTCAAAGGATAAAAGGGAGAAAGGGCCCGGGTTGCCTCCCAACAAGCGCTTCTTTTTGAGGTCATTAGCTTGACCGTTGCTCCGATTCATAAAAGCTCTACAAGGGAAGGTTCGTAATCCATGGGATCAAGCCTAAGACACTCAATACGACCAACTTCGTTCCTTGAATGATAAAGTTTGATGCTTTGTCCGTTAACCCAAAACTTATGATTGCCCGCATCTAACTCAAGGGACCCATAGGGAGTAACATTAGAAATCTTGAAAGGACCGGACCACTTGGATTTCAGTTTTCCAGGGAAAAGACGAAGTCTAGAGTTGAAAAGTAGAACTTCATCTCCAACCTTGAATTCTTTAAACTTTATCCTTTGATCGTGCCACTTTTTTTATTGCTCCTTATAGAGCCTTGAATTCTCATACGCATCAAAACGAAGCTCCTCTAATTTATTCAATTTCATCAATCTTTTCTTTTTGGCTTCCCCAAGGTCCATATTAAGCTCCTTGATGGCCCACCAAGCCTTATGTTCCAACTCTACCGGGAGATGGCAAGCCTTGCCATAAACCAACCGGTATGGGGTTGTTCCTATAGGGGTTTTGTAGGCCGTTCTAAGGGCCCATAGAGTCTCATCAAATTTGAGGGACCAATCTTTTCTAGTCCGGTTCACCATCCTCTCTAGTAGGTTCTTGATCTCTCAGTTTGATACCTCAACTTGGCCTGGAATTTGGGGATGATAGGGGAGCCCTACTTTATGGTGGACACCATATTTCTTGAGGAAGGCCTCAAGTTGCTTTTTCGCAAAGTGCGATCCACCATCACTAATTAGAGTCCGGGGCACCCCAAATCTTGAAAAGATGATCTTCCTTAGAAGCTTGAGGACTACTTTGTGGTCGTTGGTTGGCGATGGTATAGCCTCTATCCACTTGGTCACGTAGTCAACCGCAACCAAAATATAAGCATTTCCGCATGAGGACACGAAGGGACCCATTAAGTCAACCTCCCAATTATCAAATGGTTCAACGTTAAGGATACCTAATTGAGGCATTTCATCCCATTTTGTGATGCCTCCTGCCCTTTGGCACCTATCACACCTAGATATGTATCGTTGGGCATCACCATGCATGGTAGGCCACTAGAGTAGAGATTGAGAGATTTAAGCCACAGTTTTAGTTACACCACCATGTCCTCCACACGGTAGTGAATAGCAATGTTCGAGCACGCTCTTAATTTCATGGTCCGGGACACACCTCCAAAATATACCATCTCCAAATTGTTTGAATAATAATGGGTCATCCCAAAAATAACGCCTTACTTCCTTGAAAAATCTCTTCTTTTGCTGAGATGAGTATTGGTATGGGATAATTCCACTAGCTAGCACTAGTAGAAAAAACCAACTAGCCACCCCCCCCTTTAGCATCGGTTCTTGAAAATCGGTGCCAAAAGAAATGGGCGTGATTGGAAAATAGGGAGTTGGCACCGGTTCCAACAAAAACCGGTGCCAACCTTAAAAAAAAAAACAAAGAAAGCAATAGAGTTGCCACCGGTTCGCCTTAAACCGGTGCCAACTATAGTAATTAGCACCGGTTTGAACCGGTGCCATTAAAAAAAAAGTCCGGTTTAAGGCGCGTCTTTTTCTTCATTTGCTTGCTCTTTCCTCTTCGTTCTCATCTGATCTGCCTCTCTCTCTCCTCCATTGTAGCGTACTCGAATTTCTCCATTGAAGGGGCTTCTGAGCTTTCCTAACACTCCGTCTCTCTCCTTCGATCTCCTTCTCCATTAAAGGCCTCCATTCCTATTTCCTAAGTCTCTGAGTTATTTCATTGAAGCGCACTCAATGTTCTCCATTAAAGCGTTCTCCATTGAAGCATTCTCCGTTGAATCTAATTCTTGTATCCTCCATTTAAGCAGCTTCTAAGGTAAGTTGTTTGTTGTTGTTATCATCACATCAATTTCACAATCTAGGGTTTATATTTTATCTAATCTAATTTAATTATCAGTGCTTTAAGTTTAGGGTTCACAAATTCTTAGATTATGAAACATCATATCCAAAATAAAAGAAAATTATGAGCTTAATTTGATTATTGAATTGAATCAAGTATCCCTAAAATTATGTATTTTTCGAGATAATTCAGTATGAAATCAAATCTCTTTTCCCTGGGCCTAGGGCGGCCGCCCCTCCTGCCCTGCCTCTGGGACGGGCCTGATTGAATTATAATTTGGTGTTTCATTAGTTCCTGAAATGCTGGAGTTTTGCTACTGATATCTTAGCGGAGTAGAATGTTTATTGAATTGAGATAAGCATAGTTCTACTATTTTTTGTAGATTTGTTTACCTAATTTTCACATTATACATGTTTCGCAGCCCCTATTTCTCAACTGGTTAAGGTTTAACATTGCACATCTTGACTGATCAACCCTATCCCGTAGGGCATATACTTGTGTGATCTTCGTTGGCTCGTACTAATGTGTGGATGAGAAATGTGGATGAGATGAGAACATAAACCATTTGTTTGAATACTTTACCAAATTGCACAATGAATTTCATCGTATGTCTGTCATGACCAAGGATTACTTGCATGAATTTAACTCTGATGCAGATGCACAAGCAAATTTTGCCGTTAGTCTTGCTGGTGAGTTGCACTATTTACTAATTTATTCCATATAAAACCTTCCTACTCTCTGGCTGACCAGTTTCTCTGCTATAACAGATGGTCAAGTTCAGGAGGTGTTCTCTTAGCTCAAATTTGTAAAGTCGGGTTTTGGAACCTCAATAGCAGAATCAGTTAGCTGCTGCATACCTTTTTGGCTTTTCATCTTTTATTTATTAACTTTCAAATAATATTGCATACAGGTGAATAAGAAATTGCACATGCTTTTGGGCTGAACATACTCTAGAAAAGTCATCAACATTGTGGCCCTGTGACATTAAACTTGTAGTTTTACATGTCTAGCAAGAATTGACACCATGAAAACCACAAAAGTGAGATACAGTATGGAGAAACAAAACCTGATACTAAAAAGGTATTTCAGGTAGCATTAACAAGATCTCAGTAATCAGTATACTATATACATTAACATGTATAAAGTGAAAATTAGGTAAACAAATCTACAAAAAATAGTATAACTATGCTTATCTCAATTCAATAAACTTTCTACTCCACTAAGATGAGCCATAAGACCATATCTCAATTTGGTGTTTCATTTATTTGTTTTGAGTATGTCAGGAACGTTCAAATTGACACTTTAGTTTACTGAGGACTACCCAAATAAGCCTCCTACAGTGCGCTTTGTCTCTCGGATGTTTCATCCAAATAGTAAGTGCTAATTATTAAATTTTTGTATTCAAGAAGAATGCTTGTCTTGTTGCAGTGTATTATGTTCTACTTGTTACTGTTAAATCCCAGTTCTGGTGCTGAGCGTTTTATCTAGAGGCTTTTTGATGCATAATTGTATTGTTGTCATTTGTGTTTTAAACTGCCATTTGATCAATCGAATCTATATATTACAATTTATCTTTGGCTACATCAGTACTTCAGTGGAAGGATAATATTTTGGAATTATTAAGAAGACGCATAGATCTTAAAATTTTTGAAAATTATAAATTTAGACATATGACACATATCCTGTAATATATTACGTGATAACTGATACATTTATTTTTATATATTAGTAGAAATGAGTGGCCAAAGTGATACACGTGAATAGGGCCAAAATCAATGTAATACAATCTTAAAAGGGAGTATATAATTTTGGTTTGCTGGGTGTGGCTCAGCTTACTCAAAGATTAATCTTAAAAAAAAAAGGAAGAAGCTTACTAAAAGATTATGCACTCAAAGTTTTATGCTGCAATTTGCTTACTGTTCTTATCCAATTAGATTGCCTAGGCTTCGTGAATTTGCACAGAAGGAAAACCTCAAAATAGTCTCTATTGCAGATCTAGTAAGGTATTTTATCACTAATTTTTATCTGGATCATTGCACTTAAGTGTCATACCTTTTTCACATTTTCTTTGTGGAATGATATCACATATGTAGAAGAGACTAAGGTCAATGAGTGAAATTCATACCAATCTATGTAGTTTATTACATAGTTTATTTTTCTGCGTTTCAGCTTCTCTCCCATGCGGGGGAAAATAAAAACCAAAAGAACCAATTAGACTTGTATGTTAGAGATTAGGAACAACGAACCTTGTGGTGGTGAGCAGTGAACAGAGTATTCTTTTGCCTTTACTAGAATTTTCTGGAGAAGAGATCAATAATTAGTAAATATGTGCAAGGTGAAGCATAAATCTACTGTCAAGAATAATTGCAGAACAAGAATTATTGATGTATCTGGACTTCATCTATATAAAACTGTTGTGAAGAAACGTGAAATTCGGACATATTAGGACATGCTATTTGTGTTAGAGGAATTCAGATGTTATTTATTTTCTTCCTCTAATATTATTGGTAGCTAGATACTAGTACACTCTGGGACTGGTAGAAGTTCCGCTGAGCAGGGCGGTGGAATTGGAGTTGTAATACTTGTTTCTCATGGTGAATTTTGACAGTGTTTAGAAACAACCTCCATAGCTGTTAGATTATTAGTATAATTGAAGAGTGTTCATTCAATTGGAATTTGGAAAAAAACAAATGGAGAAGAATAAGTTAAGGGGCTCATTTATTCAGTATACTAGTTTATTATTTGTGGGCACCAGGCTAGATCTAAATTACTCTTTATCTCAACATTGATGAATATACTAAAAAAATTTAGGTGGTGAAGCTCAACATTCTGGTGACTTGGTGAGAATTCTATTTGTATTCCCGACACAAGCTTGATTTTCTTACTTTTTCCAGATCTTCATTATTTAAAGTCTATAGCTTGTGTATACATATTTCCCCCCATGCTTTTAAGCCTAATTTTCAGGTTTTCACCCCATAAGCTATTTGTCACTTTGTTACGGCGTTCTTTCTCAAACCTCTTCTTCAACTTTTGAGCTCATAAACTTTAATTATTTTGCTATTACATTCTAAAAGGTTTTTCTACGACTAAAAATCTATGATAAAAGGGTAAATGACAGGTTTTTTCTCCGTAAGTAAGCTGCCTTTGCTTCTTGTTATTTAGCTACTAATGTTTGATGGTGTGGTTGATATAACTCTTCCAAAATTTTAGTATGAAGTCTTCCATTTCTGGTTAAAAAAGGATGCTTGTTTGGAAATAAAAGCTAACTTTAGCAGATTGTAGCTGGAAACTATGTTGTTTTCCCTCGTTTGTTTGTCAATCACAAAATCAGAAAACAGCTCATTCCCTTATTTAGGGGACTTGAATGAAACCTGCATCTCTTTTTCGTCTTTCTTATATTGAGGCAAAGTGGTGGCTCTAAAATTGGTTAAATGATTTAGTTGATTTTATGATTTGCAGGTATCGGAGAAAAAGAGCCCAATTAGTTGAACGTTCTTCTGCTGCTAGGATCCCTACAACGTGGGGGCCTTTCACAGCTTATTTTACAAGTCATACCTAGACAGGGGTGGCAAATATGTAACTTTCTATATATGCAATACAAACATTTTTTTTGGACGAAAATTGTAATATTACTGCCTTTTTTAATGAAAATATGTAACTTTATATATATGTTAATGTTTATGTATCAATTTAACTGAAAAAAATGCAAATTTTTTTATTTTTTTTTTTGATTTTTGTAGGCTATTTTTGGCACTGGTTTTGACCAGAACCGGTGTCAAAAGTTTTATTAAAATTATTTTTTACACTTTTTGCACCGGTTCAAAGCAAGAACCGGTGCCTAAAGTTGGGTTTTTCGCATCGGTTCTTGCTTTGAACCGGTGCCAATAGTATTGAAAATAATAAAAAAAATTGCTCCTCTGAAGTTGGCACTGGTTAACCGGTGCCAATGCCCTTAGTTGGCACCGGTTAACCGGTGCGAATGCCTTTAGTTGGCACCGGTTTTGAACCGGTGCCAAATTTTTGGGGATTTGGCATCCCTCAAATCCCCAACGGTTCAAAACCGGTGCCTTAGGGGGGGGGGTTTGAACCGGTGCCAAATTACCTTTTTCGTCTAGTGTAGGTAATTTGCGAAATCTGCAAACCACGAGCTAGGAGAAGAAGCGATAGCCATAAGGGTCTCAACACCCATCTCCTCATTTATCGGAACACTTTCAACATTATTATGTGGTAATATAGACAAGTGATCGGCAACATGGTTCTCGGCCCCCTTCTTATCCCTCATTTCGATATCCAAATCTTGTAGATCCATCGTATTAGCCTAGGCTTTGCATCCTTCTTGTTCATTAAGTACCGAATCGCAGCGTGGTCTGTATACACTATCACTTTGGAGCAAACAAGATAGGACCGAAACTTGTCCATAGCAAACACAACTGCAAGCATTTCCTTCTCCGTAGTAGTATAATTTTCTTTTGAGCATCATCCAAAGTTCTACTAGCATAGGAAATAACATGCAGCTTGCCTCCTACTCTTTGACCTAATGCGGCCCCTATTGCAAAGTCACAGCATCACACATTAGTTCAAATGGCAAGCTCCAATCTGGAGCTTGCACTACAGGAGCAGATGTGAGAGCTTCCTTGAGCTTATTGAAGGCTCGAAGGAAACTCTCATCAAAACAAAAATCTTTAACCTTTTGAAGTAATCCGGTTAAAGGTTTAGATATAGTAGAGAAATCTTTGATAAACCTCCGGTAAAAACCCGCTTGGTAGGACACTTTAAGAAAGCCCTTACTCCCGTAATGGAAGTAGGCGGGGGTAGCTTGGTTATTGCCGACACTTTAGCCGGATCCACTTCAATCCCATTTTTTGACACCTTATTGTAATGTTTCGTAGTGACCCACACTACGCGGAAAGGAAACCCCCCAAGACCCGCCCCGATAACTAAAGCAATTAAAACAAGCATAACATAATTAAGCAATAATTAAAAGATTAGAGAAAGAAATTATACCCTCGATGCATGCTTCGCTCGCAAATCGAGCTCTTACTTTGAAAGCTCTAGCCTCGCAAGTGCGACGGCCTCCAACGGAGTCCACCCTCGAGCCCCGACCCGAACGACCCCTACCCCGAAGGTTAGTCGGAGCTAGACCAAGAAAGTCTAGAGTATTACAAACTTAGAGGTTATCTCACCTTAAGGGAGATGCCTCATTAAGTTCAACTCAAGTGGTTTTTCCCAAAACCTAAACTTGGGTATTTATAGGGAAAGGAGACTTGAATCTCCCTTCTCCCATCCATGTGGGAGAATTGCACTTTCTTACTAATTTATTTTAATAAAAAACAAATTAATGAACAATGCAATCAATGAGTTACAAGTGGCAAATGGAGGAAGAGTGATTAGGTGAGGACCATTTCAAGAGGGGGGGACCACTGCCTTGATGCCCAAGGCAATGCCCACAAGCCTTGGTCCCCTCACCCGAACCGTATCCACCAAATGGCTGGGACAGCTGGCTGCCAGCCAGCCTTAGCAGCCAAGGCAGCCTTGCTGGCGCCTGGCGCCTTGGCTGTGCTTGCTAGCCAGCACGCATGTTGCGGCGAGCATAGTGAGCACCCTTCCCAGTATGCGTGCTGCTAGCGAGCCACGCATGCTGGGCGCTGCATTTCTACGCACACACACAAGCGCATTACAGCTTGGTGTTGTGCTAGCTATGCATGCGCACACGCACGTCCAGCGAGTGCTGTGCTAGCAACGCATCTGCACGCACACGCACATAAGTTGCGACGGTGTTATGCTAGCAGCGCATATGCACGCATATGCATATGTGATGGTGCAAGAGTAGTGACAGGCCATGCCTAGTACCAACACACATGCGATGGTGCAGTGCTAGGCCTTGCATAGCGCTAAAGCCTAGCACATCCTCACACATATGCGAGGCTGTGATGGCTTGGGCGCATGGCCTTGCTGACACACATGTCCTAGCACGCCTAGCATGCTAGGCTTGCGTTGGACCTCGCCTAGCCTATCACTCTCATGGCTAGGCTAATGCGAGGCTACGGCTAGGTTCGCACTTGTAACTCGATTGATTTTGTGTCTCGTCGAATTCTAAATTCAACTCGACTTGTGACGCTCAATCTCGACGGTCTAAGCTCGATATCTGACGTCTTTGTTTGTAATACTCTAACGACTCATCTAATCCTTCGGATTGATTCGTCACCTCGGATCGTTTACTCGATTGGGTGTGACCCGAAGGGTTCAGTCAAGATTAAGCTGTAATATTAATTGTACATTAATATTACTGATCGGAAGCGGCCTCCACCTAGACATTCTGATCACTTGACCTTACTGAAGAATTAGCTTTCTGATAATTCTGAACCCTCTATTGGAATAATACACTTTTTGGAAGGACACCATTCCTTTCAATCTCCCACTTGTCCTTCCGGACAAGTGTGTATATAATGTATAGCCCATTTCCTATGTCTCTTAATGTCTCTTCGTGAACTATAAGGTAAGATTCATTGTCATCCTTATTACGTTCAGAAGTGTTTCTCGATCTCCGAGTTCGACTGTCAATAAATAGATGATTTCTAAAATCTATCTGAGCAGAGCCATGCATTTTCACAGTCTCGCTCTTCGAGCGGCCTTGTAAACAACGACATATTCCCCTTTGTTAGTAGGGGGACATTATCAGTCTTGTATTGTAAGATCTTTTACTAAGATGTTTCGATAGTCATACTGAGAATTGTACTTATGACGATTTTAAATCTCTTAAAGTACTCTCATAGGTCAATCCGGTGAAGTTCCAAACTAGCACATGTGCAAATGATTTATGACTTCTATGTCCTTGCAGCATAAGAAACGGTGTTGTAAATCATACTTCACACTAATCTTCAGTGGTCATTAATCGTCCATCAGTTAAAAGATCTCTATTAGGGACAAATTTCGATTTAAATATTCAATGTTCACTTAACAGGTGTTTCTTTATCCAAGACATGGTCTTGATACCCTGTTTTGAATATTTTCACAAATCGAATGGACTCATTATTTGATCCTAAACCACAATCAAATAGTTTGTGGAATTTTATTAGTAAAATTTTATTCCACCATGAAACTATTCAACGTTTCATTTTATGATAAATGGCTTTCTTCAAATGTTTCAAGAGTAATACACTTCATTAACACATTTATAGAAATCACACCCATACTTAATATGCTTGATTTCTTTTATGCAATTGCGAATGTTGTCATTCACTTATTGCATAGGTTTAGCCACTATTACTTTGCAAATCTTAGCATCTTCATTATCGAATAATTTCATAATAAGACAATATGATTTTGAGAGTGTTATGGATCATATGTGATTTAGGATTTATTGTCCAAGTGATGGCTCCCACTTATTTTCATGACTTGAAATCTTTCAACTTGACAACCTACAATCAACGTTCGACAACAAACTTTCCATTGAACACTTTCTTATTATTTCCTTCTAGGCAACAATACTCTCAACGTATATTCCAGTAGACATTATGATGTTGCTTTGCTCGGATTTTATTCCGAACGACTCACAATGATTTGGGAGACCCTAATCACTTGTGATTATGGAAATTTACCTTAAATTTCCGCTCATTATACATGGATTCTTGTCCATGTTACCATTCTCAAGCCACGACGCATTCTAGCTCGTGCTTATAAAAGGCTTCCTTATTAAGGATCTAATCCTTGCTAAGTATGTGCTTGCAACATCAATTTCTCAAATTACAATTGTTTCTATGCGTCAAGAACTCATCCCCTTTTACTTATCGAGTACCTTTGTATTTTCTTAACCATAATCTAACGATTCATCACTTAGATTTAAATTGATTGGTATTTTATACTTTTCATGCTTTAAGCATGTAAGTTTGTGGCGATTCCATATCATAGCGTACATGATGGTTTTAATTGCAGAACTATTCCCAATGTGATTCCATCCTTGTAACTTTTAAGCTCATCCAATTTCACCAAGTCTTGCTAAATCGTATGCTATGTGACATGGCTGAAAGTCTCTACCAAAGTCTTTCTTGTTTGACTTAGCATTTTCCCATCTTATACTTAGTTAAAACAATTACTTAGTTTTATACATATGGGTCGAAAGCCTTATCAAGTCCTTCATGTTTAACACGGTAAACTCCCTTACTCGTTTAAACGTTTCATTAAGTCTATCCAATAGATCTTAATTCCCATATGTACTAAGTGTCGCCTTTTGCTTGGTCCATTGTCGAAAATCCTTTCAAATCTAAATATTTATCATTTGATAGTTATTTCACAATAGAGTTCACAAATTTCTTGTTGGACCATACAAGATTGACTCTTACTCCCACTAAACTTCTTGTTTATAAGAATTTCTATGATTCTCCTTTGGCTAAACCTTTTATTGACTTTATGAGAATGCATGTTCCAATTCCTTTATGCAATACTTCATTTAATCCCACAATGGATTTCTTGAGCTTGCTTTCAAATCTAGCATTTATTTAGAATTGCAAAACCCTTAGACTATTTCCATAGTCTCTTCCAAAATCCAATTTTTGGAAGGCGGTTTCGTATCTTGCCATATTTCATATGCGCAATTTTGCTAGAACAATCACGAAAAGACTTTTGCGTTCCAATTGGTGAAATAGGTTTTTATCAAAATCAACGCCATGAATTAATTATATCCTTTTCAACCAATCTAGCTTTGTATGCTTGTGCATTTCCACATTTGTCAGTTTTCTTCTTGAAAAGTTATTTGCGATTTATAGGTCTGTTGAAAGGAATGGTGTCCTTCCAACTAGTGTATTATTTCGATATAAGGTTCAGAATTATCGGAAAGCTAATTCTTCAGTAAGGTCAAGTGATCGGAATG